TACTAAACTTTGAAAATTTCTGTGTGTTCATTGTATCATCATCATTTATAAATGGATCTAGTCGACTTCTACAGTATAGCATTATAGCAGAGCAGTAATTTACCTGTCCATGCTTTTAGTTTATAAACGAAACATAATATTTTTAAAATTTTAATTTTAAACTTAAGTAAATAAATAAATTTTCTTTAACTTACGTGTTAAACCGTAAACGATTTCATGATTATCTATCATTGTTAAACATATATGAACTAGATAATAAAAATGCAGTTTGTCAGTGATACGATCCTTRTATTCCGACGAAACACGATGTCTGTTTTCACTTTTTCAGAAGATTATGATACGCCTGACTTGACTAATCGTGGAAATATGTGATACAAATTAGTCACATATGTATAGTAGTAGTATATATAGAGCCCAGAACGGCGTCGGACCAAGAATAAAACTGATTTACCGATTCACACCGCGCTTAGGCGTGCTAACAGCTCAGTGTGAAGTCTTGCTCAGTATGGTTTTAACAACCATTTAAATTGTTTTAACACAAGTTAAGCTTATGTATTTTAAATGCTAGAACGCAAGAGAAAAAATAAAAATAAATCAATATCAATATTATATTTAATCTGTTGAAAATTCTACGACAATTTTACCTCATTAATGAACTAGGGACGATAAATAATAATAATATGATGCACGTTGAAATACAAAATAAAATAAACTGTTATGTTTTGTAGTATTTCAATATAATTACCTAGGTATTTGTGAGACTTCAATAGAATACAAATAATAAGTATGCTTAATATTGTTTGTAATACGTTTGGTGGGAATACGTACGTATCTTTTTTATTAAAAAGAATATATGCCATGTAATTATTTCCAATCTATACTAGTAGAAGCATGATAAGCCCAATTTATGAAATACAAAATATAATATAAGTACCTATACAATATACACGAAGAGATGAAGGAGCCAGGAGGAGACAAATCCATTGATAACACTTACGAAGTATTGAAGGGTATACAATTTTTATTTATTAGAATTTATAATAGACCATAGGAGCTCACGTGAAATAGTGGTCCTCGGTATGAATAGTCATTCCAGGAAACATCCAAAACTCAATTATAGTATGGAACTAAATCTGAAATGACTTCTCGGCTTTCTGCAGGCCTCGGCGTGTTTCAGTGTTTTGGGAATTCGAAAGTGAGTGTGGGCATTGATTGCATAATATGAATGTATAATATATATTATAAAATCAATGGTAGGGTTATCGTTGCGATATGAGACGCGTCTTGTCAATCATATTTTTGTTTTTTTTTTATTTTTTATTGTCATTGTTGCCGTCGTGCAATTGTGTTGTTGCGTCCGTCTCAAATTTCATATAATACTATCATTATAACTTGTTGGTTAATTGGTTTTTATATTATAATATATATAATATTATATTACGTAATTTTTCATCATGTCTGATGAATTAATTAATTACATTTTAAATTATGGATTAATACAGTAGACAATAAATGTTGTGCTATTAATTTGAAAAATATTTATGCATTACCTATACGTATTTTATTTCGTTTCTTATTTCTTGTAGGTAGGTATCTTGTTTATTTATATTGAAAACAAAATCTAATATTGTTCCTATAATATTATTAATTGTAAAATACAATACATTTTCATACTTATATTATAAATTATAGTTATTTTATAATACTAATTTTCTTGTTTTTTTAAAGCAAATTAAGGAACAAATCCACTTTATTACCACACCCCTCACGAATTTCGAAATTTTTTTTGGTAAAGACGTGTGTTTCAACGCTGATTTTCGAAATTGTTTGAATTTTTGTGCGGAAACCATTATTTTGGAAGTTATAGGCTTCTAAAGTTTGCGATTTTACGTTAATACGTATACGCTCAACACCAATTGCGCTCAATTTTAATTGGACTACGTTCTATATTTATATCAATATCACTATTTTATAACTATCTCATCATTACTAAATTGTTAATTAAATTATCTTTATGATAATAAAATAAGCTTTATTAAGTTATTTTGCAATTATCAACAAGTTAACAGGCTAATGAGTATATTGTACCTTGTCAGTTAAAGTAATATAAGTATATAGTGGCTCCCTTCGACTGCCGGCTCCGGTGAAAAAATTCAAAAAATTCATAAATCAGTACAAAAAACTTCGTCTTTAAAAAAATTTTTTTTTGAAATTCAAGAGGGGCGTGGTAAAATGCATTTTAGCCCAAATTAATTTATTACAGCATCAAAGTTTAAGAAGCTATAGGTACCTATTGATCAAATATATAATAATATAAGATCACATTATATTGATAATAAACTTAAGTTATCAAGTCTTTCTTGATCTTGAGTATGTGTCACGAATATAGATAATATCTATTATCTTTAATCGTGGACCTTGGTTAGTTTTGATAGTTTTAATCTTGTTTTACTCCTCTTCAGAATAGAAAATAAGCTTTCACTACTACAGTTGATACACCGGACTTGGACTTGATAAAAATGTTCATAAAATAGTATCGATATTTGGAAATATTTGCTAAATATTCATTTAATAAAAATGCTTAAGTTGGTTATTTGGATTATGCTTACATTGGTAAACATTATATTATACTTATCACAGTGGAGTGTACAGGATTTTAGTACTGTAACCTCATCTACGAGTGACTATCACTGTAGAAACATCAATCAATAATGTATTAATATTATTACTAAGTCACTCACTGTTAAAGTTATTTACCTTATTATTAGTTATTTATATCACATTTTAATACCAACATTCAATATAACTATGACATAAGTAATAACTAGTTTTTAAGTAAAATTTAAAACTTACTTATAAACCTTATGGATAATTTATTATAATTTTATTTACCTATTGCATTAAAATGTATGTGCAATTAATAAATTTACCTAGAATATTTTAATAATTTTGAGAATGGATACACCATATTTATTATTTTTATTTTATACGTATATTTGCAGCAGTACATTTAGTTTTAAGTACTTTGTCGACAGAGCTTCAATTAAGCCTTTCCTGGATTGAGACGCTTTCATTTTTTCAATTTTTTTTTAGAATTCAGCGTTTCCCTTCATCTAGCTAGCGAAGAAGAAGTTAGAAACAGGGCAGTCCTACCAGTCCCACAAGAGCAAGGCTGTAATTGGAGGAGGATCCAGGGGTCCGGGCCCCTCCCCCCCAAATTTTTAAAAGTAGAAACATTTTAGCGGTTAACCTACTGGCAATTTTTATTAAAATTGTAATAATTATGCAGCAGTGGCAATATGCAGTCATGTTTATTTTGTATTTTGTATCTTCATCGTTCCTGCAACGTCCCACGCAGTGATTGCATCGATTAGGTAGGTTAGGGTAATACACAACATGTGACTGGCCGATTAAAAAACTTATTTTACTGCTATAATATTATTAATTACTCGTAGGTAAATAGAAGGTATGTACTTATAATATTTCATAATTTAAAACAAAACTATTGTATAAAAACTTTATTTAAAATATAAAACCACTTATTTTTACAGTTGAGTTTAAATAGGTAGTCAATTTTATGCTATAAATATATTTATTTTTTTCTAAATTTGGTTACTAAATTTGTAGAACCTGTACCTATTACCTATACACATTAAATTACAAAATGCACTTTTATAAATTTGTTCACATAAATGATTTTTATAAATATGTTTCAGTGAAACCTCAAAATATATTATCACAATAATAATTACTCTGAAACTAATACCTAGCCTTATAAATCGAATGGATTTATACTTTAACCTGTTTTATAGTCAGTACTTACCTACTTTATATTGTTCCAAAAAAAGAGAGTTTAAATTTTTAAATAAAACATGTAAAACAGTATTAACAGTATTTTTGTGTATTAGTATTCTAATAACAAATGGTTTGTTTCAGGAACATAAAAATCCGAAATGGTCATTAAAGTGATATTATCAAATAAAAAAATATATATTTAATTTAAATTAAATATAAGAACAAATTACGGACGTAATTAAATAAAAATATAAATTGGGTTTCTCTGAAACATGTTAACTTATCATACCTAGGGTACTAGTTATGAATATAAATAAAACAAGCACTTGCTAAAACGTGCTACATTATAAGAATATACAATATTATTACATACTTATAATAAAATATTATATATTTACTTTATAATTAAGTTATATCACAATACATATATGAATGAATTAAATTTATTTTAACAGTAAATTACAATGATACTAATAAATTAGATAATTTAAAAAAAATTGAATTCCCATTTATTTAGTATAAATATTTTTAAAAACCCCCTCAAAAAATATTTGAGCTGAAACTCCTAAAAATATATGTACTTCCTTCGTATTAATGAACTTGTGTGTTGTTAAAGAGAAATTAAAACCAAATTTAATTATGTCTTGGTAGTAAAAGCTATATACTTATATAAACCAGTTAACGGTAAATTGTACTTACGGTAGCATTTAACAACAAAAATACCTATAGATAATATCTACGTATTAATTTATTATAATAAATCAATAGACATAAACTATAAAATGAAACAAATGTCCTACAGATATTTTAAAAATATTCAATTAAATTGGTATTTTAATATTATCAAATTCGTAAGTGATTTTTAATTTCAATTAATTCATATTTTTCCAACGGAACATTTACCATAATTGCTTAAAATTTCAAATTTACTGTTAAAACATGATTTAAATAGAAATTAATAAATTAAACCAATGATAAAATTAACAACCACTATTTGAATAATAAAATATCATGGAATAATACACGTGGATAAACGATTCATTAAAATGTTTAATTTATGTTTTTGGTTTCAATTGCAATATTGTGTGYCGATTGATTGGATCACATTATTTTTTAATAACTTTTTTGTATTCACTTATGTATTCATTTATTCAAAATAAATGTTTCAACATTTTGTCTTTGATTTTGTTTAACAATGAATAAAATCTATCTATCTATAACATTTAAATTGCTATTCACTTAGTAAAACTATTATATCGTGTATATTTTTAAGTATTATGGTGTTCGAAATAAAAGGAACATTGTGAGTCATAACAATATTGTGTCCTTCATGTAGAAAAATATATTCGTGAAGGTCTCTGCCGAGTATTACACTAGCTGATGTCTGATGGACAATTCAATAGTTAAAAGACGAGCATGGTTCCACATGTATAAGAATAATGAGACATACATCTAGTGAAAACAACTATAACAAGTATACAATTTGTGACATGTCAATCAATACCTATCTAAAAAAGATGTTCTATTAAATTGCATCCGTTGACGTAATAGTCTACAGAGATCTATAAAACGGCTGTGTTCTCTGTAAATAAAACATCTCTCCTATTAGCAATAAACGTATACGAACAAAATTAGAAACTATTCACACTGATCGATGACACTTAAACTGAGCATCCCGCATGATGTTTTTTTGTTGCAAGTCGTGCGAAAAAAAAACATACTATGAGTACTGTATAAAATCATTAGGAACGAAAAAAAAATTGTCTAAAAATTGTGGTCGTATAACCGACCAACTTGATAATGATATTTTGGATGAAAATTTCGAGTGTTGCTTTTTCCTTGTCCGTTAAAATTGCAATATTTGATTGATCCAGTCTTTGAACTTTGATATTCTGGTGTATACACCGGGTTGATTTGGTTCAGCACATCCAATGCCCCACGATATGATACCAGCTAGTAGCCATCTCTTGTCGGGTCTTTGAATTACCATCGGTCCGCCGGAATCACCCTAAGCACAGAAAATTATTTTAAATGAACATAAATTAATTTTAATAATCGCATAAACCGCTCAAAGAATAAGTGGGTATAATTCTCACTTCGCACGAATCGAATCCTCCTTTTTTCCAACCAGCACAGATAAATATATCTGGTATGTGTTCAATGTATCCAGCTGCACGGTACATAGTTTCACAAACGGAATTATTGATCACAGGAACTGTTACTTCTTGTAGAACACTAGGAAGAGGTCCGTCTATTAAAAGAAAATTTGTTTTTATTTTTAAAATGTTAATTTTTTAACAATATAAATTGTATGATCAATGTAGAAAACAAATAATATAGAGTACCTATACTATTATTATATGTATTTTTGTATAATATATTTATACATTCAGTATATTAGATAGGTACAGTAAAATATACTTAATTGAGTAATTTCACACATTTGTTTGTAATACTGAATCCCTTGATTTTGTACCTCTTATTATATTATTCTTAAAATGTTTACCTTCATATAATCTTCCCCATCCGGTGACGTAGGCAGACGATCCAACAAAATTAGAATCGTCCTCAGGAACGCAAACAGGTATGATATTAGGTTGAAACTTTACAGGTTCGTAGAATCGCAAAAGTGCCAAGTCATATTCAAAAGTTCTGGGATCGAACTGTGGATGTGATGCGACTATTTGTATTCTTCGTTCTTCGTAACCATAAGGTTCTTCTTCTACTGATAAATCGTGTTCACCGAGTCTGAGTAGTAAGTCACTCGGAGGAACGCTAAAATGATTAAAGATGATTCGATTTAATTAGTATAGTAGTAGGAATGCATGCAGTGCTAAATATAAAAACAATAAAGCTATCTAATATTTTATTTACTTTTCAACACAATGCGCAGCAGTTACAGCCCAGTTTTCGTTGAATAATGCTGCTCCACATTTGTGTAAGTACGTAGACGTCCTCCACTGTCTCAATGAAATCTTAAATTAAAAAAAATCATTCGATTAGTCATTTTAACGGAATTTTACATCAAATTTTTAAATTAACTTACTTGCCACGGCCATTTTCCAAACGAAACTTTTTCACCTCCTACTATTCTAGCCGTTGGGAAAAGTCGTCTTCCACAAACTTTTTTTATGAAAAAAATGTTATCAATTTATTTCATTCATAATGCAAATAATTATATATCAGATAAATTATTTACTAACCATCTTTGTAGTTGGACATATTGAGAGGAGTATTTCCTGCTTCGACTGAATCCGTTGATGTCGATTGCATGAGCATTGACAATGTACTTGTAGGATTTTGCGTGCTAGTGTAGGTCGTTTCCGCATTGTTTGTAACAAGGATATCATTGTCGGATGGACTAGGGAGAATTGTCGGCTTGGGCATTGTCATCGTCGATGAGTATGCACCAGAGCTGCTCTCTTTTGTCGGCGTGCTGACAGTGTTGGGTTCATGTGTCTCGACTGGAAGTTTGACCCAAGAAGGAAGTGTTGAACCGTCTGTGACCGATGGTTTGTGAGTCACTAAAACGGGAATAATATAGTATTAAATATTATCATGACAAATTATTTTCAATCACGCCCTAGCTAAAGAGATCCAACTAGAAAACTTACTGCTCGATGGTGGTGGTTTCGTGTTTTCAGCCGGTGCAGCGGGGACTCTATCGAGTGTAGTCCAAGTGACCAGAGTTGGTGATGTAGACGTGACAGTAGTCATGCTGCTGTAACTAGGAGTCGGATTCTGACCATGGGCAGTGGATCCGGTGAAATTGGCTATGATTTCGGTGACGTTTTCGACCGTCGAGCGGGTCGCGTACGTAGATCCAGTCGCATACGTGGATCCAGTCGCAAACGTAGATCCAGTCACAGATTCGACAGTGGACCCGGTTGAATCTGGTTTGCCAATGGTAGGTTTAGGTTTGGCCGTCGTCGCGGCGGGCTTGGATATGGTCTGTGGTTTGACCTTATGCGTGGACGTGGACATTGTCGTCGTGGACGGGGCTGCGGATGCAATTGTCGATTTGTAGGTGGTGCTCGATGGTTTTACGACGGGTTTAGTGGTGGAAAACGTGGTCGTAACGGTGGAGTTGTACTGTGGGATGGGACGCATCGATGTCATCGAGGTGTACGGTTGTCCGGTCGTGGAGGGCTTCGCAGTTGGTTCGTTCGATGAGCCGGCCGTTGAGCTAGGCACGCTGAACTGGACTGTTGGTCTCGCAGTCTGAGGCTTTGGTTTTTGGACGGCAGCCGTGGAGGTAGTGGCCTGGTCTCTAATCGGTGGAGGTCTGAATGAGGCCGGCTTGACCATAGGCTTGGCCGTTGAGAAAGTGGTCGACGGCATTGGTTTCGTCGATTGCGATATCGTAGTTGAGTACGAAGACGATATCGAACCGGTCGTTGGAGAACTGCTACTGCTTGCAAACGTCGGTTTCGTTCCACTTGAAACTGATAGTTCTGTGTATTGGGTACGCGATGTGGACGTCGACGTGGTGGTGGACGGCGTGGACGATACAGCGAACTGACTGGTGGGCTTGTACGACTGCGAAGTGGACGGTGGGTAACCGGTTGCCGCTGCATATGAGCTCGGCCTCAGCGTGCTGTACCTGTCGGCAGTGGTGGTGCCTGAAGTCGTCTGCTGTTGATGCAGTTGTGCGCCCGCTTTTGTATCGGTCGTTTCAGACGGACCGGCCACATCATTGTTGTTCAGGTAATTGTCCGGTTCGTTGGCCGCATCGATGTCTGTGATCGACTGGGTCTTGCAGCAGCTTCCAAAATAGAATCGATCGATGCAGGTGCCCAGGTGGGTGCCATTAGCTTTAGCACAGGAGTAAGCGAACATGCACACGCCCGTCTCTCCGGATCTCCGGCTGACGCATGGCAATTGTCTGATATTACGCCCGAAATCTGCAACACGATATTATAATTTTTTATAGCATCATATTATCATAATAAGATAGAATATAATCAATAGGTATAGAATAGTTTCGATATAATCAACTATAGCGTATCTTAAAAATTAAAAAAAAAAAACGACCGATTACAAAAATAGTTAACGTAGGTACCGCTCAACTGTATAGTAGATGTCGAATGTACCTCGTTATGGAGTAGGTCACTAGACCTAATAGGCGTCAGAAAGGCTAGAGTGGTTTTGGTAAGACGTTTATAGGGCGGCTGACTAGGGACGGCCCGACCATACTTTGAATCAGCGCCAATTATTAAGGATATCTGTTTATATCTGTTGTGATGGGAGCGTGAAAGTGGAGCATGTCTATACCTCCCACTATTTATACTTACTTAGGGAGAGTAAGGCGGGGACCAGAGGGCTTGTCTCGTTTATCTCTTTTTAGAGTATATTCTTTATTTTTCAATAAATGCAGCAACGGAGGACATGTAGTAATGCTAATGAAAAACATAATAATACAAAAAAGGTCATTGGATGGGTGATTATAAACTCTCCTGATAAATAGTAAACTTGTCCGCGTCTACTTCAGTACTACCTAAAGAGTGCATGTAAACTTTACTGAATCTGTAATAACTTAATTTATATGCATTATAATTACCTATATTATTATAATTTAATGTTTATAATAATATGAACTAAGTACTATTAACTATATTTAGTGATAATATGTATTTTTACCCCAAAATATCATCTAAATCCAAATATTTCAACACAGTTGAAAATTGAAGCATTTTTTGTACCATAAATATTGATTTTAGACAAAAAAAAAATCGCACATCATTGTAAAATTAATTCATTCGTCACTCCACTTAAAATGTAACACTATTAAAATAATAATAGTAAAAATAAAATACGATGATCATCTTATAGTGATAATATAGATAATAAATAGTACTTCATTTAAACTTTTAGACCAATGGACCAAAATTTCTCTGTTATACCTGAAAATAGAAAATAGTACAAGTACAATATACCAACCAATACCAATAATATAGATAATAAATAGTAATAATATATTAAAAACAATGAGTCCTCTTTTACAATGAATTAACATCATACGTACCTATCAGGGGAATCTATCTATCTGTCTATTAGCAATGTCATAACTCATAATATTGTACGGGATTTTTGTAAGTTCATGGCCATTTTTTATACAGCCATACAGGTATTGTGTAATTTTTTAAAATAAGAAATTTATTATATTATTAATTATTATGTGTATTAACAAAAAAGTTGATTAGATCTATTGAATTTATTAATTACAAGTCTTATAGAACAATTTAAAAAAAAAGTATAAATAATATATACATATAAGAACATATATATCATCGCGAAATGGTATTTGTATATATCAGTGAAAAAACGATTACTACATTTACGATGTCAGTAATAATTATTTATGACATGAAGTTTATCATAAATTCTATGTTGCATTCAATTTATACCTGCTATGACAAATTATTTTTAATTGCGCTATAACTGGTTGCGTCTTGTGAATAAATGCTGGTTAGACTGGTCAAGTTATATAAACATGTGGGAATTTTTACTTCTCTGAACTTTACGTATGCCGTGTGAATTCTATATTAAATACAAAATTATTAAATAATGAGAGGGTTAAAGAAACAGTGCGTGTGACTTGAATATAAATGTTATATATTGATCATAATAAATCGATAAAAGGTGAAGACAAATATTTATAATTCAAAAGTATAAAATGGACTAACGATACATTTTTTTATTCATACAAATGGTTTTGGATTTAAAAATATAACCTATTGCCAAGAAGATTGATTTAATAAGTATTTAAAAAATAAGTAGGTATAGATGTTAAACAATAAACATAAAAATTAATAACTATCAACTATGAGCTCTAAGCATATTTACATAACAATTTAATTTCTAATATATAATTTAATTCAATTTATGAAGAAGTTATATTGTTAAAGGTGCTATTTGTATTCAATAATAAAGTACCCAGTACCTACCTACTCTATAAAGTTAAGCTTAAAAATCTAAATGCTCAGTTAAAGTTTAAAATTTATTAAATTGTATCAAATTTGGTATGTGACTAAAATACGAAAGTCGAAGGTACCCTACATTTTACGCATAAAAAAAATGAAAACTTTTATTTATAATAATATTATCAATAAATTAATAATATTGATTATTGTATCAATATATATGGTAGGTAAATTTGATGAACATTCTAGTTTATTACAATATTTTATATAGTTGTAACACTTGTAGCTAAACTAATTACTAATCACCCATTAATATTCTTTAAGAACCTATGAAGCCTTAGTTTTTCTATAAAAGTGCACAATTCTGGATTATTCGTTGTGGTTAGAAGTATAAGAATTTATTTTGGTTATATTTAGAAATTAATATAATAAACCAGGAATTCGTTTTCGCTATAAAATGGATTCCAAGTGTACCCGGTCACTATAATAGATGCAATGGGCCGACTTACACTTTTTTCATTAAATTAATTTTAAGTATATATTTGGCATATGCTGGCACAAAATCGTGAAGGATGGAGACAGTTATGTTTGGATGTGTGGTCTAAAAGGCCATAAAAAAAAAAATTAATTTTAAGTTCCGTTTTAATAACAAAATACATTTTCGTGATTTGAATGAATTTTGTCCAAATTTAAAATTCTAATTATTTTAAAAGAACATTTTGTGACTGTTTGATATTTTTATAATTAATGCAAGAATAACTTATGAACCATCTTGGACAAACTCATATAATTTTCAGACTTGTTGAAAACATTAATTATATTATATAAAAAATAAAATACCAAATATGTCCAAATTATAATTACAAATAAATATAATAAGC